GAAATATAAAAAATTGATGGAGATACCAGAGAGAAATCTGTTACAGCCGAGGAAGATCTCTCAGCTGCTACCACTAAAGCACCTCCTCATATTCAGAAACGTCATCCATCAGATCAAATCATAGGTAACTTAAATGATGGTCTTCGAACTAGAGGTAAGTATGTTCCTGGACAGTATGCTTATGTTTCTCAGTTTGAACCAAAGAACTATAAAGAAGCTATTAAAGATGATGAATGGTTCTTTGCTATGGTTGATGAACTAACCCAGTTTAAAACTCTACATGTATGGGATCTTGTACCTAGACCCTTGAACCAATCTGTGATTGGAACCAAGTGGGTTTTTAGGAACAAATCTGATGAAGATGGTGTCATAATTCGCAATAAAGCTAGATTAGTGGCACAGGGTTATTCACAGAAGGAAGGGGTTGATTATGATGAAACCTTTGCCCCTGTTGCTAGGTTAGAATCCATTCGATTACTATGTGCTTATGCTTGCTACATGGGTTTTCCCCTTTATCAAATGGATGTTAAAAGTGCGTTTTTAAATGGTGATATTCATGAAGAAGTCTATGTCTCACAACCACCTGGTTTTGAGGATCATCAACACCCAAATCATGTCTATAAACTTAGAAAAGCCCTATATGGACTAAAACAAGCTCCAAGAGCTTGGTATGATAGGCTTACTTCGTTTCTGATTCAACATGGTTTTAAACATTGGTCAGTTGATAAGACTCTATTCATTAAACACAAATCAGAGGACATGCTTATAGTTCAAATCTATGTAGATGATATTGTTTTTGGGGCTACTTGCAAAGATATGTGTTCTGAGTTCTGTAACTCTATGAAAGAAGACTTTGAGATGAGTATGATGGGGGAACTTCAATTTTTCCTCGGACTCCACATCAAACAAACAGATTCTGGTACTTTCATAAGTCAGACAAAATACATATCCTCAATGCTAAGTAAATTTGATATGTTAAATCTTAACACCAGTCCCACTCCTATGGCAGTAAATTCAAAACTTGACAAAGATGAGACTGGGATACCAGTTGATGAATCTAAATTCAGAGGAATGATTGGTTCCTTGTTATATCTAACTGCTAGTCGTCCTGATATTCAACATAGTTTCTGTCTATGTGCACGTTTCCAATCAGCCCCTAAAGAGAGTCACATGTCTGCGGTTAAACGCATATTCAGATACCTTAAAGGAACCATGGACATTGGTCTATGGTATCCTAAACATGATCAGTTTGATCTTGTTGGATACAGTGACTCGGATTATGCAGGGAGTTTGACTGATAGGAGAAGTACTTCAGGTAGTTGTCAATTTGTAGGAACCTCTCTGATTTCCTGGTCTTGCAAAAAGCAAGGGGCAGTTGCCCTTTCCAAAGCTGAGGCAGAGTACATAGCTGCATGAAGCACTTGTACTCAGCTTATGTGGCTAAAAAGTCAGCTTCAAGACTATGGAATTACTATGACAAGCATACCTTTACTTTGTGATAATACTAGTGCAATATGTATGTCCAAGAACCCTGTGCAACATTCACGTACTAAACATATTGAGATCAAGTACCATTTTATTCGTGATCTTGTTAGTGCTGGAATCATAAATCTCCAGTATATCAATACAGAATTTCAACTGGCAGATCATTTTACCAAACCTTTATCTACTAATCGTTTCACTTTTCTGTGCTATGAGATCGGTCTGCGATCTCTTTCCACCATTACTAAAAACTAGTTTTGGCTAGGTTACCATGTTTGTTGTACTTTTTATTTCTTTTAGTTGCTTCCTTCGAATTTTTTCTTTCCCTCCTTAACCTTCTGCAGTTATGGTTGATTGTGTGCTTTCCTTTTCCTGTTCCTGGTTGAGTCTTTATATTGCTTGGTTTGCTCTATCCTGCTTGTATTTCTCGTGTCTAGTTCTTTTGTTTCCCTGTGTCAGCCATGGTCTATGCTTTTGCTCTGACTTATTCTGGAGCACATTTCCATGAGCCTGTCGTTGCTAATTACCATCGTCACTCTCAGTCTTTTGCAAATCGTCCCATCAATCCTTCTACCATTGTGCACCTCCCTGATTTTGTGCCACTAGGTTTAGATGTAATGCCCTTCGTTTGTAACTTAGGCTGGGAATTTCTCCTCATGCCTGATTTCACCTCCTCTCTTATCTGTCCTGAGGCTGTTAGGGTATTCTTCTCAAATCTAAGGTATTTCGGTCTCCAATCTAGAACTGTCAGCTCCCTTGTTCATGGTCATATGATGACCCTTCCCTTATCAGACATCAGTCGTCTCCTCAATATTCCTGCCTTTGGAGAAGCCCTAGCACATCCTGATGAACTTCCTATGTTCAACTTTGATATCACTACTGAGGCTGTTCATCTCACTGGTCATGAACCAGATCAGGATCGTACCTTCTCTACTGGCCTTTTACCTCCCTCTCTGAAAGCTTTTCATCACATTCTCACTAGAGTATTCCTGCCTCGTTCGATCTTTCTTGATCGTGTTCTTCCACTGGACCTATGGATCGTAGCACATGTTGTTGCTGTTGTTCCGTTAGATTTCTCGCATCTGTTCTTTGGCGCTCTTCTTCCCTTCATTGATCACAACTTCCATGCCCCTCTCCCTTTTGGAGCTACCATTACTCGTCTTTTACTAGCCCTGCCTCTAAATCTCTCTGCCTACCGAGCTGAATCCCCCTCCCTTTGGCTAACTGCTAATGATGTCTTGGAGGAGATTGGGATTGCGATTGAGGGGGAGAGTCCCTTGATGCATTGGCTCAGCAGTGACTCCGAGGAAGAAGAAGAGGTTGACACTAGAGAAGCTTCTGAAGAAGAAGACCCTGGCAATGGAAACAATGATTCTGATCCCTTACCTTCATTTGCAGTCGCCCTTCAAGATCTGTATGGTTCTGATTCAGAATCAGACTCTCCTGTTGTCTTTAAGTCAGATGCTTAATCATCTAGTGACAGCTCTGATCCTTGAGTTTGATTGAGTCTTGTTTTACGAATTGATGTTCTTAGAGTTGTTCTGAACTCAGGGGGAGTTCCTTGAATCTTGTTTTTAAAGTTGTTATTCTTAGAAATGTCCTGAACTCAGGGGGAGTTCCTTGTTGGTTGTTTCTGTCTGGTGTCTTTTAGTACTGCTCAGTGGATTTCAGTCAAGAAGAATATGTGTTTTGTTTTATGATGAACTCTCTTCTACTGCATCTTGTGTGGAAAGTCTGTTGATTGTGTGCAGGGAAAAGTCAATCGGCAATCTCCAACTTAGGGGGAGATTGTTGAATAAGGAAAGGAAATCAAGTCTGAGATTGCCTCTTTTTGCCCGTTGAAGACAGCTGCTCACTATTTGATACCTTCCTTGTTTGGTTTCCAACGGCTAGCTACTTCTGGGAAAGCTTATATAACTCGGGGTGATTGCTCCTGGTTAGATACTTTGTAAAAGGAGAGAGTTACAGTGGTAAAGGGCTTAGCTCGTTGATTACAAAGGGTTGACAGAAGCTGAGGTAGAGGTTCTGCTTCTGTCAAGGCAGAACAGGTTAGGGTGACCTGGTTTAATTTGCGTATTCATTTACCTTAGTTTTTGCTTGTGTTTTTACTTTCAAAATCAATAAAAATCAAGGGCCTCCCAGACCATCTTCTGGGACGTGGAAGTAGACCATTGCACTTGGGCGAACCACGTTAAAAACGTCCTGTCTTATTTCAGTTTCTGCACTTAGGTTTCTCTGTTCTTATTTCATGTTCTTGGTGAACACTCTGGTTCTGGGAATTCTGTTCCTTAACTACAGAGAAGCAATCCTAGTTGCAGTGCTCTTGTGGTGTTGGGCCTGAGTCCTTACTTAAAACTCTGTTAGTGTTTTTCCTTAGCCCGGTCGAAACAAAACTCCTTTGGTTGGGCTTTGGCCTGCTTCTCAGCCCAACTGATTGTAACCCGAGTTAAAAGAGAGGCAACTTTTCCTCTGTCTTCCTCATTCCACTCGATCGACTCTCAAACCCTAATTCCCAAATTTCCAGAATCCTCTGTTCACATACTGGATGGATCAATTGCGAATGGATTTGAGTGAATTTGTGGGTCCAACCACCCCACATTCACCCCAAGAATTAAATCTCAAAATACTCCTACATTTAGTAAACAAACAAACATCAACCACACATTATGTTAACGAACAAACCACTTATGTTTCTTTAGTTCCAATAAGTCGAGTTGTTAAGAAAAGGTTTGTTAAGTTTTTATCTCTTACACGACCCCTCAACGAAAGCTGGTTTTTTCTTGTTGGATTTTTGTTGTTCGTACAAATTGTACATATCATCCCTTACGCTGCCGAAATATTAGGCTTTCAATTTGTACAGATTGAACATATCATCTCTTGTACTAAACCATTGCTTATACTAAGAATTGTCATAAGAATCCAAAACCATGACCTGTCAGTTCAAGATATTGATATCATATTAATGAACAAATCACTTGATCCCAATGAAAGAGTTTGTTGAGTTTTTATTTCTTAGCCATCACATCATCATATAGCAACAAGCACAATAATTAGATCTAACAAATTACAAACCGACCCGTTGACCCGACCCGAAACCGCCCTAAAAATAGAAGTTTTTATAACCCAAAATCTAAATGATCCAAACCCGTTAACTCGTGATTTTTTTGGGTCAGGTTGGGTGGGTTCATGGGTCGACCTGTTAGACCCGTTGTATTTCATATGTAACTCCCAAAATGATCAAATCACTCATAAATATGTGAGATGTTTAAAAAAATCCACAAGAATTTGAAAGACGTGTTTAGAGTTTAAGCATAATCAAATATCATGTGTTTCTTGTAGTAGTATTACTCTTGTGATTGTTCTTTTTATGATTTGTACAATTTGTATTTCATTTCATTAGCATGGGAAGGCTTGAGAATATGTTAATTGACATGTGTTAGGTAAACTATTGACATGCGTATGTGAGGATTTGTGTTCGTTAAAAAAATATAAAGAATGTTTGATATTGTTTCTACGAGCGCTCATAACCTGAAATGACCCGAAACCGAATGTATTGGATCAATATTTTACCCGAAATAAGCCAACCCAACATTACCCAACCTGTAACTCGAAATCACCCAGCCCGACCAATTGCCAGGTCAAACAATAATTAAAAAATGCAGGCGAAGTTTGATGGAGATTCTGAACCCAGTCAAATCCATGGCTTGCTATTTTCCAAAACTCATAATTTGACCAGGCACGGGTTGCAACCTTCTCCGCTGGTAGTGTGCATGGTCAGTTGGTCACAAAATACAATCACAAACAAGTGGAATACAATCACAAACAAGTGGGCCTTTTCAAACTGGGACCCTCGATTGAAAGCAACTAAAAAAGAATACTCCGATCTTTCCCAAGACAGAAGAGACCCGAATCCTTTACGTAGTTCCTCCAGCACTAGCTACTTAAGGACTGCATCTCAAAGATAAAATTTCACCATTCTCAACCCACATATGGCTCTACCTGATTTCCCAGCCACCATATGGCTCCTTGTTCTCTTACTTCTTCCCCTTGCGGTTCTCATAATCAAGAACAAGATCAACTTATCAGGAAGGAAGAACAGCAACCTGCAGCAGATTCCACCACCTGGTCCTCCTAAACTTCCAATACTGGGCAACTTATATCAGCTTGGTGCTTTGCCACACCAGTCACTCTGGCGATTTGCCAATAAATATGGCCCTGTTATGCAATTCCACTTCGGCAGGATGCCCGCAGTGATCATCTCCTCCCCTAAAGCCGCCCAAGAAGTCATGAAGGTTCATGACCTTGACACTTGCAGCCGGCCATCCCTGGTTGGCACTAGGAGGCTGACATATAACTATCTGGATGTGGGGTTCTCACCTTATGGAGACAACTGGAGGTTCATGAGGAAAATGATCATACTCGAGCTCTTCAGTGTGAAGAGGGTAAAGGCGTTTCGGTTTGTTCGGGAGGAAGAAGTTGGCTTGCTGATCGACTCCATCTCTGAAATATCAGCATCTGGCTCCACCTTTGATCTCACCGAGAAGTGTTTCTCTCTCACAGCAAACATAACCTTCAGGATGTCTTTTGGGTTCAATTATCACGGGAGTGACTTTGACAAAGGCAGGTTTCATGAAGTGATTCATGAAGCTCAGGTTGTTATGGGAACCATATCGGGGGAGGAGTGTTTCCCTCGACCATTTGGTTGGATTGTCGACAAATTCAATGGTCATCAAGCAAGGATTGAAAGAGTTTTCCATGAGCTCGACACTTTCTACAGACATGTCATAGATGAACACCATAAGCCTGGAAGGGAAGAAGCTGAGGAAGATATGATTGATGTGATGCTGGCAATCGAGAAGGAACAATTTCAACTACACGGTAGAAAATCTAAGTTCAGAAGAGAGAACATCAAGGCAGTTTTCCTGGTAACCCTCCCCAATCTACACACTTCGTTTCCACCAAAATAGAAATTTTTTCCTCAAGCAAACACTAACTTTACTTGCCACTCAGAACCTGTTCTTAGGTGGAATTGACACTGCCGCATTAACTGTGACCTGGGCGATGGCAGAGCTGTTGGCAAATCCCAGATTGATGAAGAAAGCACAAGATGAGGTCAGGGTCATAGTTGGAGAGAAAGGCAGGGTAACCGAAGATGACCTTGAAAATTTGGAATACATGAAGCTGGTAATCAAAGAAACTTTGAGACTCCATCCGCCAGCCCCTCTTCTACTCCCTAGAGAAGCATCGTCTCACTTGAAAATCAGTGGATACGATATTGCCCCCAAGACAATGATCTACGTCAATGCCTGGGGAATGGGACGGGACCCAAACTACTGGAAGAATGCTGACAAGTTCATGCCTGAAAGATTTGCAGACAGCTCCCTGGATTTTAGAGGGCACGACTTCGAGTACCTGCCATTTGGAGCTGGTCGCAGAATCTGTCCTGGAATTAACATGGGAATAATCTCCGTCGAAATTGCACTGGCGAATCTGCTGTACTGCTTTGACTGGAAACTCCCAAATGGGATGAAGCCCCAAGATATAACCATGGAAGAGAAGACTGGCGCCAGTCTTTCTGTGTCCAGAAAGGAGCCTCTCATACTCGTCCCTGTCAACTGGCTCAACAAGTAAACCAGCAGAAGCACATCAGCGGAGCAATATGAATCCATAAGTGCTAAACCATATGTGTTAATACTATTTGAAAATTATCTGTGCTACTACTATATATGATTTGTTTTGCTGCAATTAGCGTGCATAAAAAAACATGAGATAAACTTATCTGGGAACAACTTTGTACTGCACAATGAATGCAGAAATGAAAGCCAAGAACACCATAGATAACCTGAAAATGGGAACAATAGGGAGGGAAGCAACAGGTACAATAATCCTTATGCAAGATAACAACTTTGAATCCATGAATATTGAGCAGCAAGGAAATAGGAGCAGAAATGAATGCAGAATTAGCAAAAGCAATGATGCACAGGAAACCACTGCATTTAGGGCTCGCAAGCAAAGTGGGCAATTTGATCTATGGTGTTTAATGGCGGTCACTAGAAAAGATTGTTATACCTGACTGAATTGGTGCTACCCAATCTCAATACGCAATATGACTATAGCGCAGTGGAAAAAGAGCCATCAACAAAGTTGCGCTGCATTGCATACTGAGGTGCATGGAAGCTTTTTTCTAAAATCCCAGAAAACCGCAACCTGGGTAAAGGGATTCGACCCAACAGGCGGCCTTTGACTGGTCGACGCACCAGAATCCCGGTGGAATTAGGTGAATCAAGCAGAATTTCATGACTGTTCCAATTTTCAGTGGATATGACATTCCTCCTAGACAATGATCTACATCAATGCCTGGGGAATGGGACGGGACCCAAAATACTGGAAGAATGCTGACAAGTTCATGCCTGAAAGATTTGCAGAGAGCTCCGTGGATTTCAAAGGTCAAGACTTCAGATTACCTGCCATTCGGAGCTAGTCGCAGAATCTGTCCTGCAATAAACATAGGAATAACCACCGTCGAAATTGCACTGGCGAATCTGCTGTATTTGACTGGAAACTGCCAAATGGGATGAAGGCCGAAGATATGACCATGGAAGAGAAGAGTGGCGTCAGAATTACCGTGGACAGAAAGGAGCCTCTCGTACTCATCCCTGTCAAGTGGCGCAACAAGTAAAACAGAAGAAGCACATCAGCCGACGGGCAATACAATCCGTAGCAGCGGAACTCGTAGACTACTGCTTGTAAGTAAATAAGACACCAAAAGCACTAGCTCTGTGCCCGGCCTTTCGCAGTGTTTGATATCAGTAGGTGTTTGTTTCCCTGCAATTAGCGCGCAGAAAAAAAGAAATCCAAGAACACCAAACAACGGGAAGTGAAGAAACATGCAAAATATAATAATTGGCCATAGCAACAGCAAATTAGAGCGGCGGCACAGCAGAATTAGCAAAAGCAACTTAATACAGAAGACTACTGCATTAGGGAAAGCTTATCCCAAAACCCCAAAACCGCAACTAGGGCAAAGAGATTCAGATTTCAGACCGAATAGAAAGAAAAAAAAAAGGGCTATTCGATTGCGCGTTGTCAGAGGCTGAATTGCGGTCGTGATTATGTGAATCGGGCAGAATGTGACGACGTGATTGGGTGAACTCGGCTTCGAAGAGGCGGAGGAGCATAATCGGCGCGGAGGAATTTCACCTGGCAGCGACGAATTTGACAGGGGGGAATGGATGGGAGGGGAATCCCAGCCGGAGTGTGCCTCAGGAGTTAGGACGCCGATCGCCGGACCGAGAGGAGAAAATAATCGGAGACCGGGTACTGGTGAAGGGAAACGTCTGGCACATTTTCCCGCCAACATAAACCTCCATTCTTACTTTTTTTTTTTTTTTTTTACAAAAGATAATCATATATCAATTACTTAAAAGTGCAAGTTTAGTGCACTGTTCATTACGAAAAAATCTCCCCATTATCATTGTTCACTAAGGACATTATTTCATGCGGCAACACCCACCCAAACTTCCAAACCTCCTAGAACGCCAACATTCCTCATTTTTTTATTCTTCTTGCTACATTTTTTTATTATATCTACTATTATCATAAGCATCAGTCCATACCAGCACAGAGCCAAAGTCCATTTTTCGAATATTCCTAATAATTAAAACACTACATAAAACAATTAATTAAAAGTGCAAGTTTAGTGCACTGTTCATTACGAAAAAATCTCCCCATTATCATTGTTCACTAAGGACATTATTCCATGCGGCAACACCCACCCAAACTTCCAAACCTCCTAGAACGCCAACATTCCTCATTTTTTTATTCTTCTTGCTACATTTTTTTATTATATCTACTATTATCATAAGCATCAGTCCATACCAGCACAGAGCCAAAGTCCATTTTTCGAATATTCCTAATAATTAAAACACTACATAAAACAATTAATTAAAAGTGCAAGTTTAGTGCACTGTTCATTACGAAAAAATCTCCCCATTATCATTGTTCACTAAGGACATTATTCCATGCGGCAACACCCACCCAAACTTCCAAACCTCCTAGAACGCCAACATTCCTCATTTTTTTATTCTTCTTGCTACATTTTTTATTATATCTACTATTATCATAAGCATCAGTCCATACCAGCACAGAGCCAAAGTCCATTTTTCGAATATTCCTAATAATTAAAACACTACATAAAATTTGTTAGCTTTTATATAACAATAAGATGCGATCATAACTTGGTTTTATTATTAAACCACACATTACATAACATTTACGTAACACCATTCTATAAAAAATTTGTGAATTAATATAAGTTTGAACGAAAAATTCTTTTACTATTATTGATCATTACATCAATTTGCATTGCATAAAATTTTTGAAAGGTAAACTATTTCTACATGATAATTTAATCAAATGGAAGGTAAGTTAATTTACAAATGCGATACTTTTTTCAACTTGATTTTATTATTAAACCACACATTAAATAACATTATTATATAAAAATTACATAAATTACAAATAAATAAATATTTAGTTGAAATTTTATAAATAAATTACGTAAAACCTATAGAGATATAGTTATTTCTTATATATTAGTTAAAAAATATTTTATGTTAGTCTTCCGCAGTGGCAAGGATGCTCTTTAGCATTCTATTCACCAAAAGAGTTCTTTTGAAATTTTTATGATACTACATAAAGGTTACAAAAAATAATTATTTATTATTTATCAATTACACTGGGGATGCAAATCAAAACCACAATCGTGGGTACCGACCGCTCCCAATCCAGCCAACGTAGGGAATTCCCGCATTGACTGAGTATGGGGCTGGTTTATGAGGGCAAGTATGGTTATAGCCTCCCGGACCCATATTTATAAGTCATACCTATACCATACCTGCCACACAAAGAGAATTTTTTCATATATAAACACTAGAGAGATCACATTTTAACATGTCACTGAAAAGAAGGGTAATTTAGAAAATGAGTTGAAATGTAATCGAGTGGTCACCCAAACCAAACTTTGATTTCTTTCCTTGCAATTCTCGCTTTACTTTTTTCTTTCTTTTAACAAGACTATGGTAGTCAGTTATTACTTATAAGTACTTGTGTCAAAGTCGTATATTAATGATTTGGATAGTTTTATAATTTTCTGCTATAGTGACATGTTGAAAGATTTATGTAACAACATCTACAACAGTTATATATATTACAAATTCAATAAAACGTTACTTTCTATAACTTGATTTTATTATTAGACCACATATTATAAAAGATTTATATATAAAAATTCTATATCAACAACATTCTATAACGATTAAATAAAATAAAAATTCATTTTTAAAATTTATAGACACTAGATGAAGTGAAATTTATAAACTGATAGCTATTATGTAAGCAAAGATATTACATGAGTCTTTCTTACCAATTAACACATTATGTAAAGTTTTTGAACATATTATCATTTTGTATGTATCAATTAACAAAATATTATGCAAGTCTTCCATAATAATGAAACACTACGTAAACCGTATGTAAGGATAGTTATATATTATGTATCACGTACACAAACAAATGGCATATGTTATTCGCAATGATTAATACAACACGTGAAATTTAGGTAGGTATCTTAATCGAATAATTTTGTGAATGATTTGATTTCAAATAAATCATTAGTTTCTTACCGCGGCAGAGCGCGGGCCAAAAAACTAGTTGATTTTAAAAAATAGGCAATTACATCCTGGAGATCAGCCAGGACTGAAAATCGAACAAACGACTCGTAGTCGGGTACAAAGAAAGGGCCTTTCTAGCCACCAAATGGGCTACCCTATTACTACTCCGACCTACAAATCGAACACTAAACCCCGGGTTACTAGACAACCCCAGCACCACCTCTTCCAGGATCGCACCCACCCGGTTGTCCCTAGTATCAGCTTGCAGGATCTTATCAATGACAACCTTGGCATCCCCTTCAAACTGGACATCCGTGAAACCCCGCTCCAGACACCAAAGAATACCCTCGCGGAGGACAAGCAGTTCCACCACCATGGGGTCATCAATTATCGGAAATTGGACCCCTTTCGCCAGTAAGACATCTCGAGAAGGGGTAAGCACAAACCAATCCCCCTGCCGAGTGAGAACCGCTCCTAGTAGCCCCATCCCACATGCAAATAACCCCCGCATGGACCTCCTGCCCTGGTTGTGCGTTTGAGCGGGTTGAGGAACTTTATCCACCGGAAGGCGCACCCACTCCTCATACTGCTGGGTAAACTGGCGCATCAAAGCAGGGATCCCAAACTGCTTACCCTCAAACACCACCCAATTCCGAGACCGCCAGATCCGCCACAACACCGCAACCATTCCCATGAAAAGAGTCGGCTGATGAATTAGAGCCATCAACCTTTTTAGAAAAAGAGGGAAGGTATGCCGAGGAAGCCCCTCCCCTAAGTACTCAAGTCCCGAATAGCCCCACAGAGCCCGCGCCACCGGACAGTCTAGAAACAGATGTTCCATCGTTTCCTTGCTCTCCCAGCAAACCGGGCACCGATGATGAACCGTGACCTTCTTCTCAATGAGGGCTTCCGTAGTTGGTAAAATTCGGTTGAGGAGTTGCCACACAAACACCTTTAATTTAGGAGGGATCTTAGCCTCCCACAACCGGATCCAACTAGTCCTATCCATCCAACTTGCCGTAGCCTTCCAACGACCCCTCCTCCTATCAATGGAGACCGCCAAGTGGTATGCCGATTTAACCGAGAAAACCCCATCAGCCGTATCACACCAGACAAGCCTATCCTCTACGTTATGACGCAGGAGGGGAATAACTTTAATTAAACGACAAGTAGGTGGGTCAAACCACTGGCAAAGTTTACTATCACACCATCGCCCCTCTCCTTGACAAATCAGCTCAGCAACTGGGGGATCGCCCCCACTTGGTAAAATTTGCGGATTATACCGCGGGGGGTCCAGCTGGAATTGTGGGATCCAAGTGGAATGCAGAAGCGATGTCGATCGCCCATTGCCAATCTGCCATCTAATCCCCATCTCCAGTAGCTTTCGGCCAAACAGGATACTCTGCCACCCCCACGACGGGCGTGAACGAGCTTTAGCATGCAGGAAATGCCCATTAGGAAAGTATTTACCCTTATAGACCTGGGAAAGAAGCGATTGTGGCTCCAAGAGAATACGCCAACCAATTTTAGCGAGGAGAGCCTGATTAAAATGTTCAAATTTGCGAAAGCCCATCCCCCCATCATGCTTGCTCCTACACAAATCACGCCAGGCCATCCATCGGATTTTTGAATTGCCCTCACCAGCACCCCACCAGAAGCGGGCGACATGTTTGTCCAGGAGACGACACAGAGATACCGGCAATTTAAAACAGGACATTACATGTAGCGGTAATGCCAAGGCTATAGACTTTATCAAAGTTTCCCTCGCCGCCCAAGACAAAGTTCTCCACTTCCAACCTTGGAGCCGAGCCAGCAACTTCTCCTCAAGATATCGGAATGTCTCCATCTTTGACCGAGCAATCAAAGAAGGCAAGCCCAGATACTTATCATGGACCCCAACTGCCCCAACCCCCAATATCGCCGCCAAAAATTCTTGGTCCGGAGTCACAATATTCTTGCTGAAGCACACCGCTGATTTTGCTAAATTCACCCGCTGACCACTCAACTCCTCATATTCATTCAAAACCTCGATCAAATTTTCACACTCCTGGAGCATGCCTCGCAAGAACAGATACGAATCATCAGCAAAAACAAGTGCGAGATCCTAGGGGCACGTGGAGCCACTTTTACCCCAGCCAACCGTTTTTCCGAAATAGCCTGACGCATGAGAGCCGCGAAGCCCTCTGTGCATAGCACAAAAAGGAGAGGGGATAAAGGATCCCCTTGTCGAAGCCCCCTGGAAGGACTAAAATACCCCGATGGAGTACCGTTCATTAGCACAGAGAAGGACGCCGATCGGAGACATTCAAAAATTCATCCTTGCCATACCGAGTTAAACCCCATCTTGTCCAAAACTGCAAGCAGAAAGGGCCATTCAACTCTATCATAGGCCTTTTCCATGTCAACCTTCAGAGCCATATACCCTTTATGCCCTTGTGTTTTGATTTTCAAGTAGTGCATTAACTCATGCCCAAGGAGTATGTTCTCAACAATTTGTCTATCACGAATAAAAGCATTTTGCCCCACCGAGACGATCTCAGGGAGGATGACTAATAGTCGTTCCGCCATGATTTTGGGTATAACTTTGTACACAAATTGGCACAAGCTGATCGGTCGCAGCTGCCTCATCGATTCCACATTATCCACTTTGGGGATTAAAGTGAGCCAGGTGTGATTGAAGCTACGTAGCATCCGACCAGTTTCGAAAAAAGAAACAACTGCTTCAACCACCGAACTCCCCACAATCCCCCAAAAAGCCTTAAAAAATTTCCCCGTAAACCCATCGGAACCGGGAGCCTGCTTAGAACCCATAGCAAAAACAGTCTTGCGCACCTCATCCGGATGCACAACAGCCGTTAGGTCAGCATTCATTTCCAGCGTGACACATTGGTCAATTGGTAAACCATCCAGTCGGTCACGCATATTCAGGACCGGGTTCTCGGAAGTGAACAGATGTTTATAAAACTCAGTCGCCACATCCGCCTTTCCTTTCTCATCAGTGACCCATTCGCCATCGTCCTTTTTTAGTCCAGCCACAAAGTTCCGTTTAAGACGCGTCCTAGTCACGGTATGGAAATAGGACGTGTTTTGATCGCCCTTCTTCAACCAGTGAACTCTGGACTTTTGCTGCTAGTAAACCTCCTCCGCCTCCCACTGTCTATTCAACTCCACTTCCAGCTGTCGGATCTCATCCCAATTATTCTGGTGAATTTGCTTGATCCTCTCAATCTCATGCTGAAGAGTCTTTATATTGCGTAAGGAATTGGTAGTCCCCGCTCGACTCCAATCATATAATAATGACAAAGTTTCTTGAGCCGTTCCCATAAGCGGAACATTGGGGTCCCCTGAACTTCTTCCTGCCAAACATATTCCACCATAGCTCAAACTTCAGGATTATCTACCCAACGAGCATCAAACCGAAAAAGGGGGCGACTATTACAGACATAGGGTTTATCAGAGAGAATGAGGGCGCGGTGATCTGACCCCTGATCAGTAAAATGCTTCACCAAGGTGTCAGGGAAATGGTCAAGCCAGGACTGGGAACAAAGCGCTCTATCCAGTCTTTCCCTGATACAAGCCGCTCCCATTCGTTTGTTCGTCCAAGTAAACTGATCCCCTTGATAGCCTGGATCCAAAAGCCCCAAATTTTGAATAAAATTACGCAGGCTAAGAGAGTGCGCAGCGTTCCATTGGTTCCCCCCGTCCTTTTCACTCTCATGAAGAGTCGTGTTAAAATCACCTATGATAACGTAGGGAACAAGAATGCCCTCACAAAGTTCCTGGAGCTGACCAGCTGGGTGGCTCTAAGTGCAATATTGCAACTAATGTAGACATAAATCACCACATACGAAAAGTCCATCTCATTAATTTGAACACAAATACAGAAATTGGAATGAAAAAACACCGAAGCATCAACTTCGGCGGACCAAGCCACAACTAAACCACCAGATGCGTCGACCGCATCAACAAAAAAACAACAAGAAGAATGAAAACCTAATCCACGCATACGGCGGGAAACTACTCTCCGTCTCGATCGTATTTCCGAGAAAAACACAAGATCCGATTTATTGGAATGAACTAAACCGACAGCAGTTCGGAATGTGAGGGATGTCCCAATTCCTCTCACATTCCAGGCCATAAGCCTCATTTATCTGGGTGGGGCCACTCATGGCTGGCTACCTCCACCGTTTCATCAGTCACAACCTCCTCCACAAACTGCCTTTTGGGTGACGGGGCATCCCCTTTCTCACCCGCCATTGACTCCAAAGATCTCTTCCGGCTACCAATCGTAGGATCTAGAAGGTTCGACCCATACTCATTCACCATAGTATTGGTCAAACCCTTCTCTTCTTGGGTCCGCTCCACCATACTGCCACTGTCACCATCACCAATGATTAACCCACTCTCAAACGCAGCAACAACCTTGCGGACATGGCCATGTGTAGCACGCAGAGGACTAGTTGTACGTTTCCGCACTTCAAACTGGCCGCCATTAGCCTCATCAGAATTAGAGGTAGGGGACTGCGACCCCTCCTCCCCCAAATCCACAACAATATCTTCACCCTGCTTCCCATTAGTGGGTATTTGCCCCACCATTTTGCTTCCTTTGCGTCCCATCCGCTTCTCCACGTCAGGAACGAGAGTTTCTTTGACACGGGCCTTGGAGCCCTTGTTCTTTCGGGCCTTACTAGCACCAGTGGGCTTTGCAGCAGTAGGCCCACCAATAATTATATTAGTTTGGGCCGGAGGGTGATCATTATCCGCTTCCACCGTCCCTCTACTTAGCCCCAATGGCTTCGGATGAGACGCAAGGATTCCATCCCCATCTTGACTCAGGTCCGCCATCTGTCCCCTCCCCTGGAATTCAAAATCGTCATCAGAGTCCTCTTCCAGCAGTAGACGCTGGCGGCGGGTTTCAACGATAGGGCCACTGATTTCAGGCGAGACCGCCTCCACCTCCGGCACTGAGGAGATCATCGGTGCCTTATCCCGGCAAGCCACATTGTCACGCGGCGCCCCAGTTCTACACGATTCAGCCGGCGACGACCGCCACGGGGGGACTCCTGCACCGCCTGACGACTATCCGGGCCATTCATACCCCTTCGCACTCTATTTCCCGCACACAGCTTGGGGGATTTGGACACCCGGAAGACCCTTGGGCTCTTCCTATGCTGCTCCGAGATCGGATCACTAAGTCCCTGCCGCACCCGGTCCATTTCCTGCAGCTGGGGCCGTGGGACATCCTGCTGCCTTAGGTGAGTATGCCTCCCCCTCACTTGTTCTTCTGCATGCTCCTGACCATAGCCAGTTGGTTCAAGTTGCGCACGAACAGCTTTATTCACCCACACGGTATTGCGAGGACCGCGAAACGGTTGGGAATTGTCATCATCATCATAGATTTTCAGGCCTAGTTTCTTTGTGACCATATGTGGGCCGAAATTCTCCTTCCGGGTAGGGGGATCATATGCGCATTCTCTTTGGACATGGCCCGCACGTCCACAATGAAAGCAGAAACTAGGCAAGAACTCATAACGGAGATTTACCCAGAAACAGCCAATCTCCTCACTTGCCGCAAACAACTGAGATCGTAATGGCTTGCTGAAGTCTATCAGAGCTTTGACTTTTACAAAACATTCCCCCGTCTCTTTACAGGCGAAGACACCCGATTCCAAAACCTAGCCAATAGTAGGGGAAATTAGTTTTTGACCAAATTGCTTGGTACAAACATCTTCCCGAATACCCCAGAGTTGGATACGAAATGGGGCAATTGCCATCGCATCAACAGTCGCCTTTGTGATCGTCGGAGTCCAAGATCGCAGGCAGACAATTCTGTCTCGCAGTACCCAAGGACTACGCTTCAGTACCCAAGTTTTGGCCTCTTCACTCGGCAACACAAACTCCACCAACCCATGTCTAGCCACCAGGGCACGGATTTGGCCCCTCCCTTGCCATTGGGAATTGGCTGCCTCACGCAGCTCCTCAATCGGCACAACACTATCAGAAAAGACCCGTCCAAGCAGAGAGCGAGAGGTGCGGAATCTCACTGACTGGACCTCTCCCAGGGTGAACTGCACAACTTGGTCATCAGTGACATGCATCATCTTGGGCACCTGAAAACACAAGGATAGAGGCTGGGCGCCATTAATTTTATCACACACCCTCACACTACTCTCTGGCTGTCGCAGATCCGGGTATGGGCGGTGAATTATTGGATCACAATTGTAAGAGGAACACCCCTCAGGGAAATCAGAGCCAGATGAACCATTACCTGAAAGCACAAAACCGTCGGCAATCTTCTGTATGGGGGATGGGGATGAAAGAGTCTCCAACAGCCAATTTCTCCTTTGATAGGGAAAAGAAGCCGAACAGGCCAGGCGTGCTTTATATAGGAATCTGACCCCACCCCTTCCACAAGGAGACGTAACCGGTGTCTTCGTGCTAGGAAGAGTTCTATTAGGTTTCGGCAATTGAATTTGAAAAGTGGTTGGGCAGAAGATGGAAGATCCGGATCTCATCCTATCTCCGGAGAATCCGGGGAATCTCAAAAGGGGGGAGATCTGCTGATCCGCCCATTTTTTCCGTTGCCATCGTTGCCCAAGTTTCGTCGCGGCTTTTCCACCGTCGGGAGCAATTTTAACTGATACTGGTTCAACCGTTGCCGGAGGAAAAACATCCGGCCAAGTGAACCTGCGTAAATAATCATCGCAGGCCAGGACTTTAGAAGGCTTTACCTGGCGATCTCCATTTACAGTCACTTTGTCATCCTGGGCGCTGCCACAGGTTTCGGCAATCGCCGTTCTTGAGGGGGTTTCTACCGACCCCATTTCCGTCTCCGATGACGACAGTAGGCTAAAACGCCATCCCACCTTTTGGGACAACCTAGGTATTTTGCAGCGTGAATAAACCTCCAATTCATCCAAAACACATTTGCGCTTTCTCCTAGCCGAGGGATAAGCATGTTTTACCACACGAGGGACTCGCTTAACGCCACGGTCCACACTCGTGTGAATTTGAGATTGGGAGCAGTTTGTTTCCTGAGCTTTTTCCGCTCTCCCAGACCAGCGAGCCCAAACAGGGCGCTCCGCAATTCCTTGATTCGCCAAGCATTCCTGAAAGACAGCCTCAAGCATCCCGATGAGAAGTTTTCCAAGCAGTCCGGCGAGCAAATTCCCACAGCCGGCGCAAAACTTGAGGAGAGAGGACAGAGCATCCCTCATCTCTTTTTTTTTTCTTTTATACGTGAATACTACCATTCTTACTTCACCCGCCCTTTCTGTACAACATAATTCTTTTCTTGTTTTCAATTTCTCTTATTCTGCACAAAACGAAACAAAGGGTAGTAAATTACACTAAAGGGCCAATACTATGGTGCCGCGATAAAAAGTGCGGCACCGGTGACGCAATCTCTGATTGGTCCACGTAGAATTGATGTGACTGCTGGGTTGGTTTAATGAACAATGGTCCAAATTCAGTGGCCCATTAGAAATGACCAACCGGCCTCTCCCAAATTATTTAATTAACGGAGAGCCATGCAAGACCTTAACGTCGTGTAGTTTTTTTCCCTCGACATTTCACAATTGTAGTTCACAATCCGTAAATTCTGCTCGACATCGGCCTCTTCTTGCCGTAGCTCCTCCGGCCGCAGCAAGCAGGTCCTCCAGCCTCCAAGCGGAAGATTGTCTCTTTCAATGGCCTCTGCATCATCGATCTCGCCATCCGTTCCTGCGCCTCCGTGTTGTCCCGTTTCAATGTCGCTCTGTCGCACGCCACATGACCACCGTTGTACAATGGTTGCCGGCCCATAATCCTATTGCTAACTTACAGTCCGTCAATTGAAAAGTAGAAGTTCGCTTAGACAATTTACAGGCCCATAATCAATTTTCAGTCAGGCCCGTCTTTCCTCTTTTCCGAGTGAAAAGCCTGCATCCTTTATCCTTTTTACTTTGCCTACTCAATTTTATGTGTTACTGACTTGCTGTTCATTTAAGAGAAAAAAATCGAACCCATTTGAACCAACCCTTAGGAATTGACTAAAATCCAACCCAATACAAACACAACACAAACTTAAACTAGGGCTAATACCACTAGAAATATCAATCTTTAGCGAAAGTGTCATTTATATTACGTAACTTCAATAAACACAAAAATATTCCAACCTACACGAATTTCTATTGACAGTTAGAGTTAACCATTGACCTAACGGTGGTCAACTTACCTTTGACTATTGCTTATGTGGCACTTAGGTGGTGTCCACATATTTGCCACGTAGGAAATTTACTATTTAAAAATTTTAATTTAATTTATGAAAATAAATAATTTAATTTTTAAACAAATTTAATTAATTTTTTAAAATATTTTTCTCTCTGCCCTACTCAGCGACCTCATCCATCGCCATAACTGCTGCTCGTCAGTCGTCATCGAATTCGAAGCCAATCCCAAAACCCGCGTCATCGCCACCATCGACCTCAACCACGCTGACATCGCTTGACGCCGGGTACCTCCCCTCTGACCTTAGGTAACCAGTTCGTGGAGCGAGAGCGAGAGCGGGAGCGCAAAAGCGTATATTTCAGAAGAATTTGATATTCAGAGCGTGAAGAGAGCGTTATTATTATATTACAATTAATTCATTATTTTAGCATAGTTAACATATATTATGCAATATAATCATTAAAATACATGCCTAGAATGCAATGAGTAAGGAATTTGATGACTGGTGTGTAATTTAATTTTGAGTACCATATAATAATTGACCTTTAATATATATATATTAGTATAAAAAATCCTAAACCTAAATCACTATCACAGACAACACACGTGAGCACCCATCTTCTCCCTTTCTTTTCCGCCGCTCCTCTTGTCTTTCCATTAATCACCAGAAAATTAATCCCCCGTTCTCTCTGGGTTGGTACTTGGGAGAGCTTTGTAGCTAAAAACGTTAGCCTTCCAAATAAACCCAGATCTCAACGAGCTTTAGCCTCTTCTTCTCTATTACAACTGTGAATTCCAAACACTTCCAATGAGAACCAAACACACATGAATCCCCCTTCACCTTTTTCTTCCTCTCTATCTTCTTAGGAAATCAATGTTTTTTGGTTTCAACTCAGACCACCCTGAAGAAATAGCTCCATGTCAGCAGGCGATCATCATCCACAAAAGCTTCTCTGCTCGAGTCCCCTCTCCATCTCCCCTGCTTCAGCAGCAGGCGATCATCATCCACAAAAATTCCTCTGAAACTCAACATGCAGTTAAACTCGGTGAATCATGTTGAGCATGGAAGATTTGGGATAATTGATGAATCTGAGTTGTTATTCTCATTAACTGATACAAGAGTTAATATACAGATTTTGGGGAGTAAAAATAGTGCACGCAGCAACTAACCACTAAGCACCTCCCTCAAGTATAGGAACCGAAAAATGGAGTGGAGAGAATAAAAGAAAATTGAATTTATTTATCTCTCATACGCCCCCGCAAGACGGACGTTGTGTCGACAACTCCGAGCTTGGACTGAAGAAGCAAGAATTGAGCCGCCGAAAGTGGTTTAGTAAGGACATCCGCAAGTTGTTGTGCAGTGGGAATGTAGCGTACTGTGAGACGTCCCCCTTGGACGAGTTGATGGACGAAATGGTAGTCCAACGCCAAATGCTTCATGCGGGAATGGAAGATAGGATTGGCGCAGAAGTAGGTAGCGCCCAGATTGTCTGAGTAAAGCGTAGGGGGAGCATGGAGCGGATGGAGCTCCTTGAGGAGATTCTGAAGCCATTCTAGTTCCGTACTGGCATGTGCTATCGCCCAGTATTCGGCCTCTGTACTAGATCGGGGAATGGTGCGCTGCTTCTGAGAGCGCCAGGAGACAAGAGTGGTGCCGAGATAAAGAAGATACGCCGAGGTGGAGGACCGATCATCCAAGTTGCCAGCCTAGTCGGAGTCGGCGAAAGCAGACAGTGAGAGAGGCTGGGGTGAGCGGCGGATGAAAAGACCATGATGAAGAGTACCGGCGATATAACGAAGCAGGCGCTTCAAACTTTGCCAATGGGAGACGGTGGGTGAGTGCATGAATTGTGACAACTTGTTGACAGAGAACGCGATGTCCGGGCGGGTATAGACCAAATATTGGAGAGCACCAATGATTTGACGTAAGCGAGTAGAATCGAAGGATGCACTACCATCAGAGAGAGTAAGCACGACTGTGGAGTCCATAAGTGTTGGAGCTGGGGCCGCGTCGATCATATCAAACCGGCGGAGAACATCTGTCATGTATTTATGCTGAGAGAGAAGGTAGCCATCTGGGGAAGGAATGACCTCAATTCCGGGAAAATAATGAACATCCCCCAACGTCTTCAAGGAAAAACGCTGCGAGAGAGCCTCGCGAAAAGTGGTGAGCATGGGAGCATTATTCCCGGTGAGGAGGAGATCGTCCACATAGACGAGAAAGTAGAGGAGCACACCATGCCGATGGTAGACGAACAATGAGGAATCAGAGATGGTCTTGGTGAAGCCAAACTCAAGAAGAAAAGAGCTGAGGGCGGTGTACCATGCCCGGGGAGCCTGTCGAAGGCCATAAATTGCACGCTTGAGGTGGCAGACATGATGTGGACGAGTTGGATCCGTGAAGCCAGGAAGCTGGAGCATATAGACCTCGTCCACGAGGGGCCCTGTAAGAAGGCATTGTTGACATCGAAGTGAGCTATAGGCCAGTTATGAGACAAAGCCAGGGTGAAAACTGTGCGGACAGTGACCGGTTTGACCACCGGACTGAAGGTGTCGCCGAAGTCAACCCCTGGCCGCTGATGAAAGCCTTTAGCGACCAGGCGAGTTTTGAAGCGGGAAATAAAACCAGCAGGATCATGCTTGACCTGGTAGACCCAACGATTGCCAAGGACGTTGTAGTGAGGAAGGCGTGGGACAAGGTCCCACGTGTATGTTGTGCAGAGCTTTATTTTCAGCCTTGAGGGCGTCGGACCACTCAGGATAGAGCAAAGCTTCCGTGACTGACTTTGGTTCGAGCGGCGGTAGCATGGAAGTGGAGGCCGGGCCTTTTGTTGAAGTGAAAAGGCGCTTGGGCTTAAAAATGTCATCTTGGGCCCGAGTCCACATGTTGTGAACCCGGGCTAATGGTGGAGGCTGGGCGGGCGGAGGTGGGGAAGGCCCGGACGGTGGAGTGGTGGGCTCAAGTGTCGGCCCAGTAGCCGAGGACGAGCCCGATCCTGTTGCTAAGGAGGCCGCGCCAGGAGAGGTCAATGAAGAGAGGGAGCCCGCCAAAGTGGACCCCAGGCGAGGCCGTTGGGGAAGTGGGCCGGGCCGCTGGGAGAGAGGTGATGGTGGAGCCTGCATCAAACAACCAGGAGGCCGGGGAAGGAATGCAGGAGCCGCTTGTGAAGAATAGCCTGGGAACATATGCTCCACAAAATGCACATGGCGTGAAAGAAATATGTGATTAGTAGTAGAATCAAAACACTTATAGGCACTCCGCTGAGGGCAGTAACCAAGGAATATGCAAGGGCGAGAGCGGGGCTCAAGTTTAATGGTGGCATAAGGGCGAAGCCAGGGATAGCATAAACAACCAAAAATACGAAGTTTGTGAAAATTTGGTGTTTGGTTAAAGAAAAGGGTATAAGGGATCTGTCCATGGAGTGCGGATGAGGGGAGACGATTAATGAGATAAATCGCCGTTGAGAAAGCATAGGACCAAAAAATGGATGGAAGGTTGGCCTGATGGAGAAGAGTGATACCAGTTTCGACAAGATGACGGTGCTTGCGTTCAGCAAGCCCGTTGTGCTCCGGAGTATGAGGAGGAGTGAGAAGGTGACTGATGCCATGAGAAGCGAGTGTGGGACACCGTTTGATGAACTCACCACCACCATCGGTGTAGAGACGCCGAATAGTAGTAGAGAAAAAATTTTCAACCATGGTACGAAAATCAAGAAACACATGAAAGACATCAGATTTTTTACGAAGGGGATAGTACCAGGTATAACGAGTGAAGTGATCAACAATAATCAAATAATAGTGAAAACCATCAAGAGAGGCCACAGGAGCTGGTCCCCAAACATCAGTATATAAAAGATCAAAAGTTCGCTCACTAGTAAGAGATGAAATACCAAATGGAAGTGTATGGGATTTATTAGAAAGACAAGAATCACAATGACTAGGAGAAGATGACGCGGAAACTGGTAATGAGTGAGAACGAATCCGACTGCGAAGAGAATGAGCAGACGGATGACCAAGCCGAGAGTGCCAAGAATCTATGGTGGTGCGAGTAGTGACAAGCGCCATTCGGACAGGCTCGGTCTGCGGCGGAAGCTCATACACATCACCTCTGTTTTCCCCTCTCAACATCGGCACCCCCGTGCGAAGATCCTTCACAACAAAATGCGTGGCAAAAAATTCCACGGAAACAGGGTTAGTGCGACATAATTGAGCCACAGAAATAAGGTGTTTTTTGATGGCAGGCACATGCAAAACATCGTTCAACGAAAGAGAATGAGAACCAGTAGTGAAATGCGAAGAACCGATGTGACTAATCCGCAAACCTGAACCATTACCGACAATTAATTCATCGGGGCCCGTATAGTCGGAGTAAAGAGAGAGATTGCCAAGATCAGCCGTCACATGATGTGAGGCGGCTGAATCAAGCAGCCATGGAGTGGAAGGCGATGGCTGCCAACAGGGGGTTGGGAAGGCGGAACAGCATTGGTAAAGTGGGCCTGGGCCTGGCGGTGGAGAAGAGGGGCTTGTCGGACCGGTGGAAAAAGCTGGAAGCATTGATGCACTGTGTGCCCTGGCTTGTCACAATACTGACAGACCAGACGGGCCCGGCGAGCAGGAGGCCCAGTCGGATTACCATGGGAAGATGGGTGATAACGATGTAATTGTACATGTTTGTGCCCCTAGTTCTTATCCGTTTGAGGGGCATATTCGTGTGTTGTGGCCTATTTTACGCCGGGTTGTGCTATTTTGTCATGTTTCAGGTCCCAGGTGTCAAAGGGAAGGCTAAGCGCGAGTTTCGGGGCATTCGGAAGTCATTTCGGTGAGCTGGAGCCAAAACACGGGCACACCTAAATCATTACACGGCCGTGTTCTGGTGGCCG